CCGATTTGTTCCTTCGGTGGTATTGCGTCATGTCATCTTTTGATCCGAAGAGCCACCGTCTTCACCGATACTCCGCCGTAGTTCTGATTCTCCTTCTGTTAAGCTTTTCCGTATCGACGGCCGACGATGTGTCCTGGACCGATGATTCCGGCCTCGAGTCTCCTGGGTGTACCAATAAGTTCCAAATGGTAATTTCAGTTTTTCATTTCTTTGCTTCGTAATATTTCAATTGAGTTCGATTGATGCCGAATCCATATCAAATCAAGTTTTTTCATCATACATACAGGTTAAAGTCTTGAATTGGGTTGATGGTGTTGAAGGTGACTATCTTACTGGCTTAACTGCACAATTTGGAGCATCGTTACCTTCTGATGCTGATCAAAGCGTTAGATTTCCTACAGCTTTTGTAGATCCTTTCGATGCATGTTCCAATCTCTCTTACAGGGTCAGTATCTAATTTCTTGGATTGTGCAAATACACATTGTTGTTTCCTTTTTAGGGTTTAAATTTGGCTCTCTCTGCATTGTTGTTTCAGTTAGATGGTCATATTGCCTTGTCGATCCGTGGAAATTGTGCTTTCACTGAGAAGGCAAAACATGCTGAAGCAGCTGGTGCTTCTGCTCTGTTGGTCATTAATGATAAAGAAGGTTTGGTTTTTTCGATACGGGTTTTCGAGGTGTGTGTTTCGTAGCTTTTGTATCATCTAATTTGAGTCATATGATGATGATCTTTTGTCAGATCTTGATGAGATGGGATGTATGGAAAAGGACACATCTTTAAATGTGAGCATACCTGTCTTAATGATCTCTAAGTCAAGCGGGGATGCTCTCAACAGGTCTATGGTAGAGAAAAAGAGTGGTGAGTCGTTGTGATTTTGTAGCTATTAAGTATGTTTGTTGACTTGTTGATGCTCTACCTCTACAACATGAGCATCGGATATTGTTTTAAACCTTCTATTGTAGTGCGCTAAGTCCATTTTCTCTATGTATGCAGTTGAGCTTCTGTTGTTTGCACCAAATCGTCCTGTCGTGGACCTCACAGCAGGGATTTTATTGCTCATGGCTGTTGGAACTGTTGTCATTGCATCACTGTGGTCGGATCTTACTGATCCTGACCAAGCTAATGAAGCTTACAGCATATTAGCAAAGGTTAAAATCTTTCCAAGTCCTTGTTTTGTCCATTGGTAGCTAGACCATAACATTGTTGTTAAGCTCTTTTGCAGGCTATGGGTTCATATCATTTACGACTAACTTCTCTTCATATTCTATATACTTGTGTACATTTCCCATATACTTTGCGTTATGTAATTATGTGGACTTGGTGATGAAACCTGTTATGATGTTGAGTTACCGACATGTCTTTTCAAAGCAAGAATATTGACTTAAGCTTCATTTTATCCAGGAATTTTCTAGTGCTGGAACCAGAAAAGTAGACTCAGAGAAGGAAATTCTTGATATAAGTGTTACTGGTGCTGTATTTTTTATCGTAACGGCCTCCATTTTTCTGCTGCTTCTGTTCTACTTCATGTCATCATGGTTTGTATGGGTGCTCACCATATTTTTCTGCATCGGTGGAATGCAGGTAATTTCATTAATAATCCGGTGGTTTTGAACTTGTGTAGTAGAATGTTCAGATGATATGTATATCTGCTTATTTCCGTCAATCCAATGAAGTGGCTGTTATTTTACAGGGTATGCATAACATCATTATGGCAGTTATATTGAGGTATTCTGCAACATTCCTGATTGTTTCACTTCTATCTTTTTCTGGTTTACATCTCTTAACAGATACATGTTATGCCTGCAGAAAATGCGGACATCTTAATAGGAGATCCATGAAGCTCCCCTTGCTTGGGACAATGTCATTGATGTCGCTTTTGGTGAATCTTTTTTGTCTGGCGTTTGCTGTTTTCTGGTTTGTAAAACGCCACACATCGTATTCTTGGGTTGGGCAAGACATTTTGGTAACTCTTTTAGCTCTCTTTTTTCATGTACTCAATGCTTTTAGAGATCATTCCTCTCACTGGTTCTCTGATGACTGCTTTATCTGAAGTATTCATTTTCATATACTTAACAGGGCATCTGTTTAATGATCACAGCCTTGCAAGTGGTTCGATTACCTAACATCAAGGTAGTTTATCTGGCTTGTTCTGCAATGATTTATGATGGTTTTCTGTTTGATTCTGATAGTTTTCTGTAATCCAGGTTGCTACTGTACTTCTTTGCTGCGCTTTTGTCTATGACATTTTCTGGGTCTTCATATCACCATTGATATTTCACGAGAGTGTTATGATTGTGGTAAGTTTCCCTTGAAATATCCATTTTTTTTCCTTGTATAGTTAGTTACCATCGATTCGTCCTGGTTAAGTTATACTAGATTTGGGCCTGTTAACGTTTCTAAAATTACAAAATGTTCATTAGATATATGATATATTTTAAAAAAGTGGAAGGATCATTGATTTCTTTAGAGTTTGCTCTTGTGGCACGAAATATTCTAGGCGCCATCACATTACATCATTGCAATGTTGCAGAGGCTTGAGTTTCTTTGTTGTTTTGTTATGTGCTAACACTAATAACTTCATAACTCAGTAACTCACCATCAATACTTGATCCCAATAATTGTGTAATTCATGAGACCAAGACAAGTTCGGATAGTTGATATTCTTATCTGAGATCTTACTTTTATAGGTTGCCCAAGGAGACAGCAGCAGCGGGGAGTCCATTCCCATGCTACTAAGGATACCTCGGTTTTTTGATCCTTGGGGTGGTTATGACATGATTGGTTTTGGGGACATTCTCTTCCCTGGTTTGCTCATTTCTTTTGCTTCCAGGTACTTGAGTCACATTCTCAGAGCTTCAAACAACAAACTTGGAATTCCATCTTTTCCTGACTTTAATGCTTGCCTCTTTGGTCTTAGATATGACAAGATCAAAAAGAGGGTAATATCAAATGGGTACTTCCTTTGGTTGACTGTCGGCTATGGAGTAGGTTAGTACATGCATTACTCACTTTGCATTTGGTTTTTGCTAATCGAGAGATGGCTGCTCATATTTACAATCTTGAAACTTGACTAAAACATAGTGTCCTCTGGTTCTGGTTTGTAGGTTTGTTACTGACATATCTAGGTCTGTATCTCATGGACGGACATGGCCAGCCTGCGCTACTGTACATCGTTCCCTGCACACTCGGTAAAACCCGAAGCTTGAGTTTCTCTTCCTCCATCTGATCTTCTCCATCGTTTTCAAACTAATTCCTGTGTGTTTCTCTATAGGTTTGGCCGTCATACTGGGGTTGGTAAGAGGGGAGCTGAAAGAACTATGGAATTACGGTATCGAAGAATCAGAAGAGACTAACACACCAGACGATCCTCTACCTGAGGCATAGTAACATGACTCAACAATCTAATGGTGTGTTATCAAATCAAACCAGATCAGCTTTCCCAAGAAGATCGAGCAAAGCTTATATAGCAGAATTAATTTTCGTACGACAAAAGCTTAATCGGATACCAAAAGTAACTCAAGAGACATGGGAAACTGTAATATATCGTATTTTTCTTGTTTTTGGGTTTAGGACTCATGACATGTTTGTACAGAGTCTATGACCTTTTTTATTGGATTCAAACTCACATCCTCTAGTAACCATCATTTTGTAGTATTTCAAAATAATGCAAATTCCTTTAAAAGTTGGTCCAATGTAATTTGACTGATGGAACTAGATACTGACGAAAACAAATGGGCGAATTTATATCTGTTGTGGTGTACTTGTGGAATTCACCAACCAGACTGTTTATTATGTACACGTACGTATATAATTATTATTGATAAAGTAGGGCAATCGAATGAAATATAAGTATGACCAACTCCATAA